GAGACTGGAAAAATGAAATATGGCTAAAGGTATGAAGACCAAGATGGTGTGGCCTTTTGTGTGCTCGTAGTCTCCTTTCGTTATATAGAAGTTGTTTGACCTTGTTTTCGTAACTCGGTAATATTTGTAGGAAGACTTAGAGGAACGCACCTAGTCCGGAGTCCATTGTATGCATTTCCAGAGTAGGACCGTGGATGTGGTACATTTCCAGACCTTTCGCCGGCGTCGTCAGTGAGTCTCGCCATTCGTAACATATTACAACTCGTCAAAGAGACAAGTGAAGCCCATCCTTTGACCAAACGTGTGCTTAACAGTTATGGTATTTCCCCTTCTGCCAGTCTGCCGACGCAACACGAGAAGACTGACAAACTTGGATGCTTAGGAGTTTATCGCATCAAATGCGGCAACTGTGAGTAGAAGTATATCGGTGAAACAGGAAGAAAAATCGGCCTACAAATCAAGGAACATCAAAGACTCTGCAGAAACATGGATACACAAAGATCAGAAAAAGCGGAACGCATTGCACGGACGGGGCATGAAATCGACTGGAAATCGACCGGTAGGTTGGCTGGATATGGTGAAAATACGAGAAAACTCAAGATCCGAGAGGCCATCGAAATACTGACCGAGAGAGATTTGATGAACAGGAGACTTAAAGAAGGCAGGATCAGCGAAAACTTTGCATATTGCCTAAACAAACTATGAGAAGGCCAGGTAACAGTAAGATCAGCAAAAAGAAGACGACTGGAACAAGATAATATCCTTAATTTTAGGAAGAGTGATCGCAAGGGGATGAGAAAGGAAGAATCAGAAGCAAAGAGGAGACGTCTTCAGTGAGCCTAATCAAAAAAAGTATAACCACGACATTTGTGGGTTGGCACACTCGAGACTAGGACGTAGGAAGCGATGGACATGGTATTACAGATGGAAACAGGAAATACTAAAGCTATTTGGCTAACAATAAACGTGTTTGATCTTAAACGTGATCCTTGAATCACGCCTATTGTTAGCCAACTAGATCTAGCTTCCATTCTTTTTATCCTCTTTTTATCTATAATACCAAGTATATTACTTGCTATGCCCTAGTCTCTTGTGTGCCATCCCACCAACGTTGTGGTTCAACATTGAACCTAAACAAAACCAGCAGTACCACAAAATTTGTTGGTTGGCACACAAGCAACTAGGGCATGGCAAGTCATAGGTTTGGTATTAGGGATAGAGACAGGATAGACGAGGCGGCGATTGGAGC